ACTAAAAGAAAAAAAAAACACTACTTTATGGCTTTTTGAAAAAAAAAAAAAGTAACCAGAATAAGCCATACGTCCTATTTTAAGTGAAAAAGAGTGGGTTGAATGTGCAGCTCGTCACATTTCCGAGGCTTTTTGAACTCCAACAAACTTCTCACTCCATTGTCTCTTGAAATGAAAATAGCTAACAGTGTTGCATTTTTCCAGAGCTTCGTTCTGATGACAGCAAAGTCGGGCTTCAAAACTGAACGTTTGTTTGACCGTTTGCCAGCGTGCTATTTTTCTAAGGTGAGAATGAAAAAAAATACATATATATTAAAATGTTATATTTATCAACCTGACCTTTTATTTTATTAAAATACTGGGAGTGAGATGAAAAATAATTTGTACAGGTTTATTAGCTTTAAAGAACATTTTCAAAGAACATTTTTGAAATTTCTAACAATGAATTTTTATTTTCTCCCTTCGCCCTGAAAGTTATCACACAACTACTACAATTTATGTTTATAAAATCTTTTTTTATTATTATTTTATGCTTTTGATACCGCTTTTACTACTAAAAGGTACAACAGTTTTTTATTTGAAGCATCAATTTCAAACTAAAATAAAAAATAATCCACAACCTAATTGGTTATAATAATTTTTTCACTGCTGATTTATTGATTGATTTGGTCCAAAAAAGATTGTCAAAGACAGCAGATTTTAAAACTTCATTGCACTGTTATATTTTGTGATTTATTGTTACAAAAGCTTTAAATTAACAGATTGTTTTACATATTTATTTGTTTGGTTTTAGCAATCAAATTAAAGACATGGTTTAAATTTAAGGGTAAAAATACAAACAGTTCATAGTTTATCAGTGAAACTAGAAGCCAGGTTTTTTATTGTTCTGTGTGTCCTATAAATCTACCATGTTGCTTTTCTGTAAACCTGACATCTGGAGCATGTCTATCTCGCAAGGGAGCAGAATTGATCCTAAGATGCTCCTCCTGAGTTTTCTCCTATTTTTCCAATTAAACTTGTTTTGGTGTTTATGTGTCTTGGGGGATGATTTATGAAGGTCTAAGGACAGAAGCACCTCATGTGCTGTATAGATTGTACATACCCTTGTGAAAAACTTGTTGATTTGTGAAACATGATTCACAGAAACTTTTACGCTCTGACGATGACATATCACAGTGTTTTGTTTTAAACTAAATATATTTGTCTTGCAGTTTTATCTATTTTTATTTTTTTCAAAGAGCTAATTGATAGTAAATCAACTTAGAAACAATAACTAAATGTCTTTGGAGCAATATTTGCTTTCATTTCCAAACCTCATTCAAATAATAAAAAAAGGAAACAATGAAAAACTGTAAGTCCACAAACCTGAAATACAAAAACCAGGGTGATACATTTGTGTTGAGAGGAACTAAACTCCACAAATGATAACCTTTAGTTTAGACAAAGGTTTGAAATGCATTGTTCAATGCTCTGTGATTTTTCCATCAGCATCATAAAGATGTTAAAAAACAAGTAATATCAATTTAGAAAAAAACAACAGCATTATAGTGTCTGTGACGTCAAATTCTTGCAAGACATATGAGTGCATATTTAGAAAGAGGACATTGATAAAATATTGCAAAAGAAATTTCACGTCGCTGAGATGAACAGTTGTTGAGATATTTGCCTGTGAAGTAACAGGAAGTGATGTCAAAGGGGAATGTCTGCATGCGGACAGAGCAGTGCTACAACAGCCGACAACCCAGACTGTAGAGAGGAATCTGTTTCTTTTAGATTATTTTGAGTCTCTATCAAAGAGAGATGAAGAAGAGTCAGAGTTCAAACAAAAGTGTTTCAATAAAAAAAAAAAAGACGAGAGTTTTCTTTGTTAAAGACTTCCCCTCTGATGTCACTTCCTGTTTCACTTTGGCTGAGCAAAGCTCAAAAGAAAATATGCCCGTTAAGGAACAAAATTGGTTAAATTATATATATTATTTCAACTTTCTTAAATATAAAAGACGTTTTTTCTTTGACTTTTTGTATTTGAAGAATATGCATGTCACATGCACTTTAAAACACTGGATCTAAACTCTACAAGAATGAAAGGCCAAGGAGTAAAGATGAGTTTTAAGCGTAGATTTAAAAGTCTCAACAGTCTCAGCGGTATGAATGCACAAAGGTAAACAATTCCAAAGGTTTGGGGCAGAAACTGCAAAAGCCCCATCACCTCTAAATTTTAGCCTAGCTAGGAATATCTAAGAGAAGCTGCTTGGATGACTTAACAGCTGCAGATGTATTGGTTACTTTGAGAAATTCCTAAAAATCCTAAAATTCACCTGCTTAAATATTCTAACATTAAAAATGAACACACACAACACACAAATGAACAGTAATATGATATTTAGTGTATTTTAACAATGCTCTAATGTTTCCATCCCTCAGTTCTTGTGGTCTGCTGAAGCACCATCATCGATAAATATAAAATAAGCAATATTATTAGAAAATGCCAGCATTTACAAAGAGCTCTTATGTCCCTGACTATATTCTGGCACCATCATATACATTAAACAGGGATAATAAAACCCATTTAACTTCATTTTCAGTGCTGTATAAAGATTGACATCTCTTAATTTGGTACATTGATGAATCAATCTTCTGCATTCAGGGGAGAGACTCGTATTATTGCCTGACTCAAAGTCATCACGTAACATTTCTTCAGTGAGGAAAGAAAAGTGAAGTTTTTTATTTTTACCTCTAGGCTTTATTTTTCACAGCACACTTCTTTTATTTTTTATAAAAATACAACACCATTCTTTTTCATTTGTCATTTTTAAAAATTAATTTTTACAAAATTCTCATTCACACCATTAACTACATGTAATTATGCTGACTAGTTGAACAAACATATCTATTCATAAACTTTGAGTGGGATAAAACTCTACAGTTTATTGGTTTATACCAGGACCCCAGCTACTGAACACACATCTTCAGATAGCTCCAGTGGCTCTTTCAGTTTGACATTTATTTAAAGTGCCTGTGACATGCCCATCTTTCAAACATCAAAGAAAACATGTTTATATTTAGGAAACCTGACAAAATACACATGATTTTAAACATTTTGTCACATTACTTGCATATTTTCTTTTGAACCTGGTTCAGCCAAAATGAAACAGGAAGTGACATCAAAGGGGAACTCTTTCCGAAAAGGAACTCCGTGGTCATAAAACAGTTTATTAGGATTCTGACTGTTTTTCATCTTATTGATAGCAACTAAAAAAAACAAAACAAAACAAAACAGATTCTTCTCTTCAGTCTGTGTTGTCGGGTATCATAGCAATGTTTTGTTTCCATGCAGGGATTCCCATTTGACATCACTTCCTGTTACTTCATATGCAAATATCTCAACAGCTGTTCATCTCAGTGGTGTGAATTTCCTTTTGCAACACATTATCAATGTTATCTTTCCAAAAATGTGCTCATACTTGTTACAAAAATAAAATGTCAGAGGCACTTTAAAGTCCTCCTCACCTTCAACCCACTCCATAATCTTGTTCCTCCACATCTCTCTGAAACTGCAGCCTTGCATACCGTAACTCCCCGATTCTCTTCCTCTTCTCACTTTTCTCTTCCATCTGCCAAACTATCTGCAATTAGCTTGAGAGCCTTGAGTCATACTGCCCCTTATCTCTGGAACCCTCTCGTGTTATCCATCTGTACCACAGAGGCTTCTTCCACATTTAAAACCTCACCCAAATCTCATCTTTGTAAGCTGGTGTGACATACTGCTAACCCACATATTATACTTCTATTGTCTAATTTACATGTACAGATATTTCATTTTACTTGTTTTAAATGTTTTGCTAGCTGTATTAGCTTTTTTTTTTTAGCATTCTGAAAGGCACTCATGAATAAAATGTGTTATTAATGTTGCTCCAAGCATCACTGCAAAAACTTAATAAATAAAAAGAACAAAAAGAATAAACTTGAAATTTTAAATGCGATATTCACGACCTGCATCTAATTTAAACTTTTTAATGTTTCAATTTAAAAACAGCATGAAATAAAGCGGTAACGCTTTCTTTTACGGTACCCTTATTACCATGTAATTACAAGGTAATAAAAGTGATAATGTAATTACTACCTTATATCCATGTAATTACGTGGTAATTAGGGTACAAAAGAAAACTACTTTTATTGGGTAACTGCAATCAAATTACTATTCAATAGTAACTCAGCACTATATTTATAACCAAAAGAATGCAACTAATTTTGGGGTTAGTGATTAATTGCAATAAAATTAACTTTAAAACTGCCTACTTATTTAGGTGTTACATAGTGAATTGTAATACATTACCAGGTAAGTGCTACATTACTGCAGACAATTACATTGTAAAATTGTATCCTAATTACCAAGTAATTACATGTAATAAGGTAGTAATCACCATTCAATACTTTTATTACCTTGTAATTACATGGTAATAAGGGTACCATAAAAGAAAGCGTTACCAGTAAAGCAAACTTTACTTGTGCAGCAGTCTTCAGATTTAGTCTTTAAGCATAAAAGAGCGTTTTCTTTCCTGCCAGACAACTGTTAATAATTTCATTTTTTCAAACCCACAACCTTGGCTTTCTGCATTCATAACGGAGCCCGAAAGCAACAAGCAAACACAGATACATTAGGGCTCTCAATTATTAGAACACATGGGTCCCTTGGGCCGAATTCCCCATTCAGTCTCCTCCCTCCCAGCGCACTAACATGTCATCTAACAGCACAGCCCCGACGCTGCACTTCGGCACTCACTTAACACACTGCCTGAAGACAAGGTATGCCTGCTTCCCATTCAAGTAATACAATAATGAAATTCAAAGAAGGGGAAAAGCACACTGGGAGCACGATCTACAGGATCTTTCAGTAACAGAGACAACATAAGAGGCTGCGGTTTGCTGGTCCTGGTGAATTATACGATGCTCCTGTAATAAACCATAATCTGTGTTTGCGCACGTTGTTATTGTTTACTTACTTTCCGAGAGCAAAGCACTCCAGCCTGACAGTCACTCCTTTGGCAGCCAGAACAGATGTTGGGAAATGCACTTCGATTTTAGGCTCATATTCACCCATGACACCTGCAAAAGGTTGAGAAAGAGGAATTGAAGAAGTGTCTACCCTTCATGAAACTCTTGTTTTCCTGCTACATGTTGGTTCCTGTTCCGTCAGGAGCTGTTTAATGACTATTTATGCAGCAACTGCAAAACAAAACAGTGGTAAATTTACCCCNGGAAATACACAGTACAGTAAATCTTACTCTGTACAGGTGTGGAAAGCATAATAACACCATCTGGTGCGGCGTGCATAATGTGTTTTTTCAACTCTCCATGTTAATTCTCTTCACTTTTTTCTGTTGCTCTTTATATGAAATTCGATTAGCGTTAAAGCAGGCGACCGAACAACAGAACTTTTAAATTCTACACTGTGGATTTACATGCTGTGGTATACTTTTTATTTATTTTTATTGAAATGCGTTCGGTTTATGTCGGTTGGAAAAAACAACAACAATATTAGTAGAATAGCGGAGCTCAAAGGCTTCTTTTAGAAATTTCAGAAAAACTAAAATAGATTAGGATGATGTACTAACAAATATTCTCCAGTGACAACACGGAACAGGCCTCTATTGTCCCGAAGAATGAGTAATCTGCTCGACGGTTTATAAACACATTGTGAAGGACACCAGTGATAGCGTGTTATCAGCCTCGCTAAGTGCCACGATGCCGAACACCTTCCCTCTAAATCACAGCCAGAGGACAAGCTTTCTTTGTTTGTTCATCTGTATGTTAAGCCGACCATTTATTTCCATTTGCCAGAATGATATGTCAGATGGAATTGAGCAAATTAAGAATAACAAAGGCAAACACCATCATCTGGGATCTAATTATGATGATCAGTCTTACTAAAAGGGAGTTTACAAAATGAATATTACATGAGTGCTTTACTTTTTCAGAGTAGAGGAAAGTTAAACACACAGTGTTTTATGTGAACACTGTTAACGGACATGTTATTCCCACTTCCTACACTGCAGGGAGTGTGGCACGTGCATTATGAAGTATAAGACAAATGACTGACGGGACATTTAGAGAAACCATAAACAGGCATTTTACGTGTAGCTGTCATTTTTTATATGATCAAATGAATTCACCAGAAGAGTTATTGAGCTGTGGCCCACTACGTACGGAGAAAAAAAAGTTTTACAATATTTGTTCCAAAGAACTTTTCAATTTCAATCTCATTCCCAACATTTATGGCTCCAAAGCAGCCCTTCACATATAATGAATTTGCAATATGTCACTCGCTCTTGCTATAGTATTTTCAATATTATATTCAGTCTCAGTGGCTGGACTTGATAGAACGTTAAGAAATAAAGACCACCGAACCCTCAAATGCAACATAACTATATATTCTGTGCTTCAGTTTCATTTATCAATCCTATAAAAAATGGTTTTTTTTTTGTTTGGTTGTGCTTCTTCAAACCAATTTAAAAGTAATACGACTCTTATTCTCAGCTATCACCACTAAAAATATGTTCTTTGTTGGAAATTGTCAATCCAATACAGAAGAAACGAAAGAGATAAATCTAACAATAACAAACTCGACTAAAGCTAAAAATATAAATGACAAAAGTTGAAATGACTTTTTTTTGTTGGAATCAAATAAACATGTTGTTGTTTGAACTAATTAAAAACTGAATTGATTTTCAATAAGATTCTCACATCCATCCTCATGTTTGACACCATCTTTACTGCATCAGTGATGCACCAATGGTGTTCAATGATTAAAAAAAACAGTCTAAAAACAACCAAAAGAGCTCTGATTAATTCACTTTATTGGATTTACTATTATTGATTTTTTTCTAATCTTATAATTAAATATTGGAGGCAGTGAAAATAAATGGAACTTCTGCCTGTTCTGATTAAAAGAGATGCATTATTTTCAGAAGCACCACAAAGAGCTGATATTGACCTTCTTATTTATTTGCCTTGAAAATTGTGTTAATTTCATTTCTTAAGAGGTTTCTTGAATTAATTAAAGCAGAGAACAATGCTTTACTAAATATAAACCCCTAAAATCACATTAAACAAAGACTTAAATTAACACTACAGATAGTGTGGGCCTTGAACCACCGTGCTCCCAGTTTTCTGACATTTTTATCAAACATTACTAACAACTGGTGTGGAGATGAAAATGGCGATTTATCAGTTTCATTTGGACACCAGAAGCAATCAAATTGAGACACTTTTACAATATGTCTATACTTAAGAATGACAAGGTTGAAACATCACAAGATTCCATGTGATGTTTTAAAAAGTTGTTTCATAGAATTAAAACCAAAACTATCCCCTCCACCTTAAATCTTTTGTTCGACAGCGTTTCTTCTGCTATAATTCCGTTATAATTTCGGACGATCACGTGACTTGGCCCGTTGTCACAGACGTAAACAATTCAGGCCAAGTCACGTGATCGTCCAAAATTATAACGCGTAATATATCATAAATTATAGCAGCACAAACAGCCGTTTCAATGGCACAAACCTGCTCAAACAAAGCACTACAAAATTCGACTAGTTTGGTTTATTTTGGAGCGAGCGGGTGGGATAGTGATCGCTGAATGACCCTTACAAATAACCTTTAATATATAAAAAAACCATAGCAGCACAAATGACAATTTCAAGTGCACCAACTTGCACAAACAAAGCACTAACCACTAATTATATTTGCCTTTTTTTCCCCGTGGTTCATTTTTTGGGAGGGGTTGGCTTCACTCAGCTCGTGAACAAGACTCCAAGATACTTAAGCTCCTCTTCTTGGAGCAGGACCTCTTTCCCGACTCAGGAGGAACCCTACCCTTTTCTGGCTCAAGACCATGGTCTCAGATTTGGAGGCATTGATATCTCTGTCATATATTTACAGCGGGTAAAATATTAAACACGTCACCATTTTTTTCAGTAAATATATTACTAGAGGTGCTAATGACATGAAATTTTCACCAGATGTTGGTAACAACCCAAGTGATCCATACATACAAAGAAATCAAACCATAAATGTCCAGAAATGAAGTTATTTGTAATAATGTGGAATGGCACAGGGAAAAAGTATTGAACACATGAAGAAAGGGAGGTGTAAAAAGGCATGGAAAGCCAAGACACCAGCTGAACTCTCTCAGTAATTAGAAAACAAGCCTGCCCCTTGTCAGTGCAAGTTAATATCAGCTGGTTCAGTCCCAAATGATGGCCAGGTATCACACAAGAACCATCTGATGATGGGTAAAAGTAAAGAGCTCTCTCAAGACCTTCACAACCTTATTGTTGCAAAGCATAATGATGGCATCGGTTACAGAAGAATGTCTAAACTTCTGAAGGTTCCAGTGAGCAATGTTGGGGCCATAATTCAGAAGTGGAAATAACATTATTTCACCATAAACCGACCACGACCAGGTGCTCCTCACAAGATTTCTGACAGGAGTGAAAAGAATTATCAGAAGAGTTGTCCAAGAGCCAAGGACCACTTGTGGAGAGCTTCAGAAAGACCTGGAATTAGCAGGTACGTTTGTTTCAAAGAAAACAATAAGTAATGCACTGAACCACCATGGCCTGTATGCACGCTCACCACGCAAGACTCCACTGCTGAAGAAACAGCATGTTGAAGCTCCTTTAAAGTTTGCTGCACAACATTTAGACAAGCCTGTGTAATACTGGGAGAATATAGTCTGGTCAGATGAGACCAACATTGAACTGTTTGGATGCCAGAATACACATCATGTTTGGAGGTCAAATGGCACTGCACATCAGCCCAAAAACACCATACCAACAGTGAAGTTTGGAGGTGGGAACATCATGGTGTGGGGCTGTTTTTCAGCATATGGTACTGGCAAACTTCAAATAATTGAAGGAAGGATGAGTGGAAAAATGTACAGAGACATTCTTGATAAAAATCTGCTTCCATCTACCAGGATGATGAAGATGAAACGTGGCTGGACATTTCAGCAAGACAATGAGCCCAAACACAAAGCCAAGGAAACTCTCAGTTGGTTTCAGAGAAAGAAACTAAAGCTGCTGGAATGGCCCAGCCAATCACCTGACCTGAATCCAACAGAAAATCTATGGAAAGAACTAAAGATCAGAGTTCATAGAAGAGGTCCACGAAAGAAGACTGTTTGTGTGGAAGAATGGGCCAAAATCACACCTGAGCAATGCATGCCACTAGTTTCTCAATACAGGAGGCGTCTTGAAGCTGTCATTGCCAACAAAGGCTTTTGTACAAAGTATTAGATAAATTTCAGTAAGTGTGTTCAATACTTTTTCCCTGTGCCATTCCACATTATTACAAATAACTTCATTTCTGGACATTTATGGTTTGATTTCTTTGTATGTATGGATCACTTGGGTTGTTACCGACATCTGGTGAAAATTTCATGTCATTAGCACCTCTAGTAATATATTTACTGAGAAAAATGGTGACGTGTTCAATACTTATTTTACCCGCTGTATTAATAAATACAATACATTGTTAAAATTTCATCTCATCTTGTTTTTACAGATCCAGCAACTTGTCCTCTTGTCCCGTCTCATAACACTCTTTACTTGCTTTAAAAGAAACGAGCCATCAGAAGAGAAATGGACCAGATGAGAGGAAACGTGACTTATTTTAACTCACAGGACAGAGCTCAGAGATGAACAATAGAATGAATAGAAATCCAGACTAAACCTGCTGTTATAACTGGTTCTGTGATTCTGTCAGCTTTATTCTCCTCGGCTCTGTCAGGAAAGTAGTCAACGTCTGGCTAAGTTTAACATTGGTGTAAAGTTTATTTTAATTTAACATGGTTTGGTTACTTTTAAGAAACCTCTCAGCTGCAGCGGGTTATAAATCAGAGGAGGCTGAAGCTGGAGGTAAATCCTACAATTAAAAAAAAAACAACACAAAACACTTAACAACATAATCTCTCATATGTTATTTATGCACGGTATTATATATGCAAACACAGCGTTGCATCATTTTTAGAGTCAAAACATTTATTTTAGGGATCTGTAACAAAGCTAATATGAGATAAAAAACATTTTGTCACCAGAATGTGC